AGTATGATTTTATCTTTTACGAAACGTTTTTTTTCATATGGAATGCAGTTGGAGGTCAACCAATCACAGAGCTTGAGAACTAGTCACGGGGTTTGTCAAACAGAGCACATGGTGTAGTCCTAAACGATAGCTGGGGATTCTGGGTAGTGTAGTGTCTTCTGCCATCCTTTACTCCGAAAAAATATTTGTTTCTCCGAATCGAAGGGTAAAAATACAAAAGCATTGCACACAATTTAAACCAATCAATGTTGTGTAATTAACAAGGATAATCTATTTTTTTTTAGTCGATGAGTAGTGCAGATATAACTGTAAAATCAATCCACAGTAAGGGGAACACTTACTTCCGGGTGTACAATTCTCCGTTATCCAATGGGAATGGACGCTCACATTGCCTTTAAGGGCAGCCGACACAAACGAATGCCGTGCTTCCATGAGCGTCAAATCCTGCCGCAGATGGGAATAGATTGCAATCAGTTGAAAGCTATTTGCGTCCCTTTATGAAGCTGAAGGAGCCTAGGAGCGTCACAACTGCACGCCACGGGACCCTGACCAAACGTCGCTCCTGGACGATTATGGAGTGAGAGTGTATTGAAGGGGAGACATCCCTTGTTATTGACTAATAGATCTTACCAGGTCATTCCCTCAGTGACATTAAGGCAATTATTTTCAAACCAAATACCGGAACAATAGTTAAAGCCAGGTCTTTGTGTAATTTAAATCAATCATCCCATAAGTAAAAATAAATAAAGCTGGTGAGGCTGGTGTAAGTGGAGATCTATGAAGATAAAAAAGAGCTGATGGGGAAATGAAAATATGTTGCACATAAAAAAAAGGTAATACAAAAAAAGTAAATATTTATTTATTAAGTTCTTTGACTTGTCTAAAAGAGGACATTTGGAAGCTCAATAACTCAAAATCTCCAGAGCATGAACATGTTTCCCTGAGAGTGTCCCCCTAAGGACGGTGTGTCTCACCCTCACCTGGTGTCCTGATGTTCTCTCTGGACTGCAGAGCAGCTGAAGGCTCCGCTGGAGGAATACGTCAACAAGCGCTACCCCGGCCTGGTGAAGATTGTCAGGAACCAGAAGAGGGAGGGGCTGATACGGGCCCGGCTGGAGGGCTGGAAGGTGGCCACCGGAGAGGTGACCGGGTTCTTCGACGCACATGTGGAGTTCACCCCGTCCTGGTGAGTAATCTGGCATCCCCTTCTTCCTTTTCAGGGAAAATTAAGCTAACCCAATAGTGTACAACCTATTGAATTACAAATCAGGATAACAGCAATAACAATCATACAATAAACATATAAAACAGACAAACGGGTTTAACAGAATCATGAAGGAGAGCAAAAGGTTTAGCAGAAGCAGCATGAAGCCAACACACAAAAAGCAATTTCACACCTGAGAGGTTTTAAGATAAGCAAAGAAGGGAGGGCATCATGTTTAAAAGAGACCGTAGGACTTATATCCCATCAAATAAAAAACATAACGCTAGCGATAAAAGAGGAAATTGCCCAGAAGCGTTATCATAAAAGTACATTATAAGGAATAATTTAAACAAATTAAACAGATGTGAAGGCTAGACAACATTTTTGCAACCTTGCGCTGATAGTTGTTTCTAGGCCTCCTTGTTTTACAGCTCAGTGTGTACTTTTAAGTTTATACACAACCCAGTTCACAAACAGAATCACTTATAAAGTAAACTTGAGGGAGCTTCTAACTGAAGTGGGTGAGAGAGGGGAGATCTGAGGAGAGGCTCAGCGCTGTCTGTCTTTTAGTGTGTGTATGATGTGTGTATTACATTACATGTCATTTATTAGACGCTTTTATCCAAAGCGACTTACATACATTCAGTACTGTGGACAATCCCCACAGGAACAATTTGGGGTGAAGTGTCTTGCCCAGGGACACAACAACATGCTGACTGCAGTGGGACTCAAACTTGCTACCCCCTGATTCGAAGTCCAGCACTCTATCCACTGAGCCACAGCCGCCCCTGTATGATGTGTGTATGATGTGTGTACCCCGTCCTCAGGGCCGAGCCGGTTCTGGCCAGAATCAAAGAGGACCACACAAGGATTATCCTGCCGTCCATCGACAACATCAAGCACGACACATTCGAGTTGGAGCGCTATGAGAACTCGGGCCACGGCTACAACTGGGAGCTGTGGTGCATGTACATCAACCCCCCTAAACAGTGGTGGGACGAGGGGGACACATCGGCTCCCATCAGGTAGGCAGAACACATTCATGTAAACATAAAGTGGATAAAGCCTTCACAAAACTCCACCGGAGAGAAATATTTTTATTTACTCTTTTTATGATTTTCTTAAATTCTTTAATTTGAGTTAGACAGAGTTTATATTAGTTTGTGCAGTTCCGTCTATGCAGTGATCCATGTTTTTTCCCCAGAATTATAACCAAAAACTAATTCATTAGGATTATCATAAAGAAATCCATAGTCTTTGGAAGAATCTGATGATTTGATGCAGTTCATGTGTCCGGAAATTATCATCCTATCATTCCCTTGGTATAAGTGAAGAAAATAAAAGGGGAAATTGTCCTTTAAGCTGCAAATAGTATTTTTATAATCTCATATTTTACCCAGGTATTTGTTCAGTGTTGGATTCAGAATAACTTTAACTGTTAATAGATCTTTGTTTGTTGTCAGCCTCAAATGTTCTTTTATGTTTTTTCTTTTTCCTATCTATGGAAGTATTTGTATAATCTTTAAATAGGTATAAAGGCTTTTGTTTGTGGAAATCATGACAATGTTCATATCACACAATGTTTTGGCTTTTTAAAAGTGTATTTTCTTTTAAAAAGGTGTCCTTGATGATCATGACATTTATTGATTTTCTTGCATTCTAACTTGGTTATGTCTAAACAAATATATAAAATGATAAACAAAAGTAACTCCATTCACACATGCACAGAAACATTCAGATTCACACATTTAAAAATGCGTGCAAACTGTTAAAACATCATGCAAAACCACATTCAAAAAGAAAAAATGCAGACAAAGGTTCAGAATTACATTCACAAAACCACATCTCATAAATGAGGTGTTAATGTTCACTTGTTTTCCTCATGGCAGGACTCCTGCCATGATTGGCTGCTCCTTCGTGGCCAGTCGCAACTACTTTGGCGAGCTGGGCCTACTCGACTCCGGCATGGACGTCTACGGAGGAGAGAACATCGAGCTGGGCATCAGGGTGAGTGTGTCGCCCAGTTTCCTCTTGTTCCAGCTCTCTGTACCCTGTAGGTTAGAGTGGAGCAGCGTCCTGTCGTGTGGCCCCGCTGATGAATGAGGTCCATTAGGAGTCCTGGAGGACCGGGCCCCTGTGTGCACCCCCGAGTAGGGCAATGCAGATAAATGGTCACATAGAGGGAAGGTTGGACAGTTGTTGTATATTTTTAGAGATAGGCAGTGCAAAGACATGCATGATGATCTCTCCAATATTTAAAACCATCAAAATACATGTAGACATCGGGGGGTTCATCCAACAATTTCATAATTTCTTTATTTTTATTTAACCAGAAGTCTCATTTAGATTTGAGAAATCTATTTTGCATGAGAGTCCTGGCCAAGATAGGCAGCAGCACAGTTCAGAACATGAACAACAAAGGCAAGGCTAGTTTATAGCACCTTTCAACACAAGGCAATTTAAAGTGCTTTACAAAAATGAAAGACATTAAGAGCATTAAGAAATAGTGCAGCAGAAACACATTGTAAAATGGCATTTAAAAACGGTCTTTATCAAGCAAAGAAAATAAACATTAAAAAATACATGAATAAAAGTTACCGTGAAGTGTAAGATGTGAATAGTTCAATTAAAAGCAGCGACAAAAAGAAAAGCCTTCTGCCTGGATTCAAAAGTAGTAAGAGTTGCACCGGACCTGCATGTTTCTGGTAGTTTGTTCCAGACAGGAAGCCAGTGTAAAGACCCCAGAACTGGAGTGATGTGATCCACTTTCTTAGTGTTAGTGAGGACTCGAGCTGAGGCATTCTGAATTAGCTGCAGCTTTCGGTACCACTTTACAATACGACTACCCTTATAATGGATTCATAAAGGGTTTATAATTAGGTTATGAATTAGGTTGTAAACACTTTATTCATCATTAAGAACCAGTTATAAACCAGTTCTAACACAGGATCACTATTTGGCAAGATGACTAAGCCTTACATTGGCTACTTAGCAAGAATCAACTCAGTGAACAACAGATACCAAGGATGCTGGCTGATAAAGAAGACGAAGTAAGCTAAATAGCCAATATAAGGCTTAGCAGTACAGATACATGTGGGCTCACTATTTGGCAAGCATCCGGTCACAGTTGCCCTGTTTATCTCATGTCTTATAAAAGCTTATTAATGATTTATAAAGTTTTCACAACTTAATTAATAAATTAAGTACAAACTATTCGTAAACCCTTTATAAGGGCAGTCTTATTGTAAAGTCGTACTGTTGGGGCAGAATCTCTGCTCCGCGCCGTTCCTATATGAGCGGGTTCTCAAAAGAAGGAAAAATTCAAAACAGCCAGGATAAGGGTTAAACAATAATCTGCTTTAATGGCGGAAACATACAAATACTTCACCTAATCACGAAGCACTCTGCAGAGTACTCCGGGCTCAGGTTCTACCACCGTGTGAGACACGTCTCAGGAACGGCAAGTCAAAAACAAGAGCGCCGATCTTCAAAATGATCACAACATTTATACACAGAGTTCACTTCTGAGCGAGCTAGACAGTGAGTTGGCAGTGTTCCATTGGTCGGTTTCCCTTCTGGGCGGGATCCCAGGTAGTAAGTCAGTTGTTGATTCCATCTGTTGCTTCACAGTGTATGTGTGTGTGTGTGTGTGTGTGTTTCTGTGTGTGTGTTTGTCCCTCTGCCCTTAGGCAGATCCCCCAATCAATGATTTGGAGTCATGACAGAGGACTCTTTGACAGGACACATACTCATTCCCCCTAAACATCTTCAACACACACATCCTATCATGTATCTTTAACAGAAGTTAATTGTTCTTATCGCTTAATGGCTTCCCTGAACTTCCCTTCACCCCAAAGTCAGCTTACTAGGAATGAATACATTTTATTGATAAGCTCAAAAGGACCTTTATCTCATTTACTGCTGGGTGACCCAAGTCTCAAGGCC